TCAAAAAAATTTTTATTGCATTTGACTCTCTGTTCTAATTTTCTTTAAAACACCAACTGAATTCAAAATTTCACCTATTTCTTCCAAAATTGCTTTCAATTACATCCTTAATCTATTTTTTTAATTAATTAATAAAATTAAGTTTAAATTAATTTTGAAAAAAATTTATTTATTTTTTTGACACTAAAATTTGATCTCATGCCAAATTTCGAACCTGGATATTACAGTATGAACGTTATTTTTAATTCCTATTTAAACTACGTTATAAGTTATTATTAAAGTAATATAGTCATTAATCTTTAATATTTGTGTTTGGTATATGGGTTTCTTTTTTTAACTTTGAAGGGTAAATTTTTTTCACTATTTTAATTTTTTATTTATTTAACCAAATTATTAATATTTTCAATAAGATTCAATTAAGGGTTGAATCATTTAATTATTATTATTAATTTCTTTACCAAATACCATGCATAGTAAATAAAAATAACGGTAAACTATCAAATTAATTTTGATATTTATTATAATTTAATTTTTAACATTCTCTATTTATTTCAAATGTAATTTTTTATTATTTTTTTACCTGAAATTAAAATAATAAGATTATATTTAAAAAAATTTAAAAATAAATTTATTTATTTAATTAAATTAATAATAACAAAAACTAGACCTCATATTATTATTAATTTATTAATATATTAATTAATTAATTGGTTAAAATCATTTCTATAAATTATTTTTTAAAATATCTAAATATGATTTAATCATTTTTATTATTTTTATAAATATTTAAAACAAATAGAAAACGTTATAAATTAAATTATAATAAAAAAATTAAAAACAAAATTATAACAAATACTAAATTCAGAAACTAATTTAACAATTTGTCCCAAAAATAAACATATAACTAGCAATCTCATCCTCACCTAAAATAAAATTAATATAAATAACAAAAATACAAAATGACAGTAAATAATTTAACTCCATTTATTTATACTATTGAATATAAGACCTAAATTAGTTTAAATAATCGACTTTTCATATTTTATTTATTTATCATAAGTAAATAAATATGGTTTATTGATTTATTATTATTTCATATTTTACAATATTAATAACAATAATGAACCCATGTGTGAACGGGAATATATTCTTTCATCACCACCATTCAATCTGCATACAATTTTATCAATGACGTCATCTCTTATGCAAATTCCCTTACATTTGACACGTGTCCTCATTCCTTCCACGTTAATCTTCCACGTGTAAATCAAAGGGCCGCATATCCGCGTTCAAAAGATGAAAAGGATGACTGTTTCGACACAAGCAAGGAAGCCGACGGTATAAAATCCCCAAATGCCCTCCTCCACGACCTGTATAGCCCTTCGAAGAAATCTGAGACTTGCGACATTTTCTGCTTATCTCATACGCTCTCATCGTTTCTCCCACGATTCTAATCAAATCCTTTTAGCTTCTTCACCGCTTTCTGCCTTTTCTTTGCTTTCTCCGTCGATCGAAACAGGGGCTTCGACGCCTTTCTTCTCTGCTTTAAGATTTGATCGTACGATGGCTACTCAATCCCAGCCTAAATCTGTCCATGATTTCGCTGTTAAGGTTCGTTCATATGCTTTAAGATGATGTTCATCAGATTTCGCCACTGTATTCATCCGTTGTTGTTCAGTTGTTCTCTTTTAGATATATATGTATAATATTTGTCGTGAGCTTTTGTTTGAGACGAGATGGTTCTCCGTTGTTTGTGATTTTCCACGAGAAAAATAGTATCCTTCTTACTTAACTCATTGATTTTTCATTTAAGAACCACTCGTGGTGAATGATGTAAACTAGCTTTAAGATTTTGCATCATGTGATATTGTATTTTGATCTTTCTATTAGTATTTGTTGGTGATATTGACGAAATTTTATCATTACCAGAAAGATTTGTAAATTGTTTTGTCACGATTGTTGGAAATCTTAGAGGTATTTCTTTTCTTATTTGCAGGATGCTAGGGGAAATGATGTTGATCTCAGTATCTACAAGGGAAGGGTCCTGTTGATTGTCAATGTTGCATCACAATGGTATTCAATACATCTTATTACATCTCTTTCTATTTTCATTTATGAGGAGGAGAGGAGGGTTAGTATTAGGCTTACTACCTGTAGGGGGAAAAAAAAAGAAAACTCCCAAGACTTGTATCATAACTTCTAGTGTACTGTATTTTCATGTGATAAAACTCAGTTGCTATACTGCATAGATCAGACCTATTGGTTAATATATCTAGGACCTAAAAAGTTCACGAACAGTTTCTCAACAAGGGATAGTGAAGCACCATCCATGGCTTATGGACTGTCCACTTCTATTGTGTTCTTCATTGCTCATCATATTGCTTTCTTTTCAAATAATTGCAGTGGCTTAACCAATTCCAACTATACTGAGCTGAGTCAGCTGTACCAGAAGTACAAAGATCAGGGTTTGCTTGCTAGCTTCATGGACTTCCGTTTATCATTTTTCCAACGATTTTCATTGCAAGAGTTGTTTCCTCATTAATTGTTGTTTCAAATTTGTTCCAGGCTTCGAGATTTTGGCATTTCCATGTAACCAGTTTGGAGGTCAGGAACCGGGCACAAACGAAGAGATTGTACAGTTTGCTTGCACTCGCTTTAAGGCTGAGTATCCAATATTTGATAAGGTATTGTTACTCTAGGTTCTTGCACTTGCTCCGGATTATCTGCACCCTACATATGCGTTTTGAGTTTTACTAACCCATAAAATTTCATCCTTAAATTATACTATTTTTCCTGTGTTTAGCAGCTAACCTCTCTGTGGAAAATATAAAGATATTGATCATCTTTTAACTTTGAAAGCTAACCTATTGGCGCTTTTCCATCTTGGGGTCCCTGGGAAGTAGGGTTTATGAGATCATCATCTTTATCTTTTCGAATTTAACTTAATCAAACTCTTAAGAGGCGGTGCCTATTTTTTTCTTTGTTTATTTGTGAGGTTGGAGTCTATGAAAATTCTGAAAATCAAGTGTTGGATCTACTTGTTTGATACGTCATTACATGGTTCTGAAATTTTGATCTACATCCCCCCATAATTTTTTACCAGTCACCTTTATATTCATTATGACCCATGTTTTCCTGTTAAAAGTGAAATTCAATCGTTATGAAATCCTCTTATTGGTTTCTGGTACAGGTTGATGTGAATGGTGCAAATACTGCTCCTATTTATAAGTTCTTGAAGTCTAACAAAGGTGGTCTTTTTGGGGACAGTATTAAGTGGAACTTCTCCAAGTTCCTGGTGGATAAAGATGGAAACGTTGTTGACCGATATGCTCCCACAACTTCACCTCTTAGTATCGAGAAAGATGTAAAGAAACTTTTGGGGATTGCTTAAATCGCCATCCTCGTCAAGTAAATGCAGAGATATTGGTATGAATGAATAAGCTCCAGTAGGAGATTCCTGTTAGTTGGTTTTCTTTCCTATGCTACAGAACATGTTGCTCGGCTGTACTACAAAGCAAACAGAACTATGTATGGAGAAATTTGTGTTTTGGCAAAGTAATTATAATACAAATGTTTGATGTTAGTTGTAACTTGCAGCATTTGTTTGCTTAAACTATGGCTTGAAGAGTGAATTTTGTTGGTGGTAAATTTCTCAAACCGTTTTATGCTTCAAAGAAATGATAGATCTTTAAGCTATGGTGTGAGTTTAAAGTTCATTGGAAAACATAAAAACATAAAAAAAAACCAAACTTTCTTTAGGAAACCTAAAAATCCAACCTTTTGGGGTCCACTGTGCGCTACCCAGAAACGAAGAAAGTTTTAAATTAATTGGGATAAAAAAATCATGTTTTTCATTAAGGTATATGTTTATTCCCCAGATTCAGTTTAATCCTTTTTGAGTTTTACAACCGTCGTAATACGGAATATCTAAACTATTAGTTTCTCAAATTTAAGTATAATTATGATGAAGAACGATTTTTAAGTTTCTTAGGGAAAGAAAACAAAATGTTGCAGCAATGCCTACTAATATTATATATACACGAGCTTTTGAAAGAAAGAAAAAAGAAAAGATTATCTTAATGTGCAGGAGGAGAGATTTTGGAATTAAGAAATGAGGAGGAAATGGAAGAGAACATACCTCTTTGATAGACATTGCTTTGACTTTTGAGTCGACTCAAATTCTTCTTGTCTTGACATAAATCTTAATGAACGATTTATAAAACTCCATATTAATTGTGATAAATAAAAAAAAAGAATGTTTCTTTGAACATTTTCTCTGCAAAATTTTATCAGTGGGAAAGGCGCTATTGGAAGGACTGCTGATGATTCTGTATGCACCTCTTTGGATTCCGAGAAACGTGATTATGTAACATGCAGCTGGGTTTTGAATTTTCTTGTTGGTTTTTTGAGATATACACGCACACTGTCTTTGAAAAAATGTCAGAGAGAAATTTTAAAAGAGAGTTGTAAGGAAGAAGAAGATAGTAATTAAACTAAGATTTACGTATGTATGTATTAACATGATGCTCGCCTTAGTAAATTTAAAATGAACATACACAGAAACTTTTATTTCTCTTTTTTTACATGTACATAGAAAATTTAAAAAATAAATAAAATAAAACATTTTTATCTAGTATAATGAGAATTTTATAATTTTATTCGTAGTTCTGGAGCATCTATTTTCTTCTTCTCCTGCAACTCTCCTCTCTACCTTTACTCAGATGACCACCGAAGCTCCTCAGTTCCCGGATTCAATATATGATTTCACGATCAAGGTCAGTGTTGCTTCCTTTCCTTTTCTCACTATACCGCCTTTTTTAGTTGACTCTTTCTAAAATCAGAAAAGACCTAAATCTTCTTCTTTGAATTTTTAAGGACAAATCTTTGATTAGATTGCTTCTTGTTTTCATATCTTCTCCTTTAATGTCGAAGTGTGTTTGAGGTAATTGCAAAGCTTATGTGTAGGATTTGTTATGCTTAGTCTAAAAGGGGATTTCTGCACTGTGCATGGAATAAGATTGCGATTTCCAGGAAATAGAACGATGTAACAAGGAAGTCATAGGCGTTATGCTAAATTGGAAGGAAGTAAAACCAGATCGTAACATGCTTTTTTTCTTCTTGCGAAAAAAAATATTATTATGCTTGTTCATCAAAAACCCAAGACGGTCATTATATGTCTGAACCACTACTTGCAGGATGCGAAGGGAAATTACGTTCAGCTAAGCACTTACAGGGGGAAAGTCCTTTTAGTTGTTAATGTTGCTTCCAAATGGTATTTCCTACTTCATTTTCCAAGTTTCTGTTTCTGTTTCTGTTTCATGACTAGGCTTGGACTTGGAGGTTTCTCATTTGAAGATTGTGTATATGAAAATTCTGGTTGTTTTCAAAATTATTTTCAGTGGAATGACCAACTCAAACTATTCAGAATTGAATCAGCTATATGAGAAGTACAAAGATCAAGGTTCGCTCACTGAATCTTTAACTTTTCTTTTATTACTCACAACTAAAAGCTTACTGGGTAGTGTAGAAAATAGGCCTACGTTACGTGCTCTCTGAATCTTATATGAACTTGCGGTTTTATATTGGTAACTCTGGCTGGTATTTTTGAAGTACCAGATAATGATCCCACTTTAAGACGCGATATTGACAGTTTAATAATGTTTGTATTCTCCCTTTCCTTCATCATCCGAGTTCTATGCAGAGTTTCAATTTCATCTTTGTCCAGTGCAGGACTGGAGATACTGGCATTCCCATGTAATCAATTTGGTGAGGAGGAGCCTGGAACCAATAACCAGATTGTTGAGTTTGTCTGCACTCGCTTTAAGTCGGAATTTCCTATCTTTGAGAAGGTAGGTTTGCAGAAACATTGACATAATTACACCCTTTTGTTGTTGATACCTAGTCACACTTTAACACATTTGTAGTCTTTGTCAAAAAGTTTTGGTGGAGTTTCTACATTAAGCCAGCTGTACCATAGTTTGAATTGGTTAGCAAGTGGCTGGTGTTAATTTATGTAGTGGATAATTGGCTGACCCTGAAAATGGTCCTGATGATTTTATCAGCCCAAGATGATGTTTAGAATAAGTAAAGAAAGAATCTCCACTGCTATTCATGGAAGAGAAGAGTCGGGGGCAATAATAAGATGACAATTAAAAAGGGGTAGGACAAAAAGATGTGGAAACACGTAATCATTTACATTACTCATCCTATCTAGGCTGATGAAGAAGTTTGTCACGAGTTCACAGAAGTGGTCTAGTGGGGGAGGGGAGGGGAATACTGTTACTTTTCTACTACTCTACCACCCATTCCAGTCGTCGTTTGTAATACACTTGATAACTTACAAGTTTGGATGTTGATTATGTTGAGTGTAAATGTGTCAGGATGTACTTTTTAGTTTTGATCTTGTAATATTGCTGTTGTTTTCAGTAGATTGAAGTAAATGGCAACAATGCTTCCCCACTCTACAAATTTCTAAAATCAGGCAAATGGGGAATTTTTGGGGATGATATTCAGTGGAATTTTGCGAAGTTCCTCGTGAACAGAGATGGCAAAGTTGTTGATCGCTATTACCCAACGACTAGTCCTCTTAGCCTTGAGGTGAATTCACTCTGTCTGTTCTCATTATCTAGTTTTGCCTTGTGTCTTTCTGTAGCAAGATATGATTAAAGTGTTAGTGATTTACCTTGGAAAATCTCTTACTTGTTTGCAGCATGACATAAAGAAGCTCTTAGGCATTTCATGAGTTCTGAGATCAAAGGTTTATTCATAATGAAGGTCTTGATCTGGATTTAAGACAAAATGTTGTATTTATAGGCTACTACCAATATGCCATGAAAGAAGCTGTTTAACACTTGCAGACAGCTGGAGATCTGAAGTGTATTGTAAGAGTCATAGGTACTCCTCTTTAATAATGGCAGTTGAACATTGGTCTTTGGGCTGTTATTAGATAGAAATGAAATTCTTTGTTTCCCACTTCCCCCTTCTCCTCAAAAATGTGAAAAGCAAGAGCAGTTAATGTTGAACCCATTTGATTCATTGATGATCTCATTTTTCTAAGGAAAATGACTGAGAAGTCTCAGAAAATGGTGCAAGGCAGTTCATGAAATTTGGTTGACTTTGTGTAACATAATGAAGGAGGCTGTGTTTGGTTTGATGCATAGACTGTGTAATCAGTGCCTGAAAAGACGATAACTTACTAAAAATTAATTATTTTTTAAGATAAATTTTAAATTTTCAACATTTAAAATTGCTGTTAAATAAATAAAATGCATGGATATGCTTAACTAGATCTTTACCAAGAGCAATTTAAAAATTTATGAACTCTCAACTTCAAGTTTAGACCAGGTCAAACTTCACATTCAACAATTAATAATAGCCTATGCTCATAATTTCTAAGGATTTTAATTAGAAATATAAAAATTAAATTTACATTAAACTTATTATGAAATTAAAATTTTCATTTCAAATCCTATAAAAATCAATGGAAATTAAATTGCGTTATTTCGATTCTATCCATTGTTATCTTAACATGGATTACAGATATTTCCAATTAAACTAAATGTAAATTTATTAATTTTTGTAAATTTACGTGATTTCTTAATTTATTTCAAATATATTACAAAACTAAAATGGAGACATGCGTCATTCAACTGCTGCATAAATAATTCGGAAGAAGTTTCCATTGAGGCCTGAAAATAACTTGCGTTTTACAGACTATGTTAGCAGAGGAAGAAGACTTCCACATTTTTCATAATTCTCATAAATTCAGTACATTTACAACAACACATATGTACAAAATTGCCATGTGTATGTTGCAACAAATCATCATCCGCGCGTCAAGTCGATATCAGTATGAGGATTTCTCAAATCAACCGGCCGAGAACCCAGGCCCATCCACCCATCGTGACAGCGTTGAAACTTTGGGTTGCAGGGGCACTAGCTGGTGTGGTAGATTTATTAACGAGCTGAGACACAGCAGCTTCCCTGTCATCTTTTGAACTAGCCACTTGCTTGTTCTTAATCTTAGAACTCCCGTATACAAAACTGCATACCACCACCTGCAGCAAACAAATACTTATCGTATTAAGCTAAACTATCCACCGACAAGGCAGTTCCAAGCAGATACAACTTTACTTTCCACCACACATGGTATGGGAATTGTCTTAACAACTGACAGCAGCATCCACAAATGCCAAACAAGATTGTATGAATGCATCCCAAGTTACTACGATATTATAGTGAACCCAAAGTGGTAAGAACACATAATGGCACAAGTGAAATTGAAAAACATTTATACGGTTAAGGATAAAAATATAGCTTGCTACATAGAACAGAATCCAGACGGCGGCTGTAACTTTAAAAGATGTTGACAATTCAAGAGTAAAGTAAAATCACCAGGTAATGAGAAAAAATACCTGGACAAGGCTAGCTGCAATAAGTGTCCCAACCCCACCACCAATTACGTGACCATCAGGACTAGAAAGAGAAGCACTAACACCTCCAGTTCGACTACGAGGACCACCAGCTTCATCAAGCAAGTAAGAACCTGACAAGCATAATATCTCAAAACGTCCCTGCACGAATAAACAAAATAAGTTCCTCCAAGCTCTTTTAGATAAGTGTCAGCAAAAACATGGATCAGAAAATGAATATGCCAAATCAAACAAGATTTTTTCTGAGAGAGGAATTTGTTCATTGAAAAGTAACTAAGGGGTTCAACTACCTCCGACATATAGACAATTATAATTCAGGACAACATATCCAAAAGGTCTATAAAGCCTAACCCATCTCGAACACAGATTTTCCTTTGAATAATCTATCGGAAGCAAAACAATGTTCTATCCTATATTGATACCTCAACTTAGCTCATGGTTTCAAATTTTGATGTGCACAAGAACTACCCTCACCAAAGGCCCAAGTAAAATGATCTTCAGAGATAGGCCAAATAGCATCAAGTAAAGAATGTATCTAATAGTTTTGCTAATTTTCACATCCAAACAGCAGCAGATATAACCTCTTTATATTATAAAACGCATAGCAGAAGTTCTCAAGAACTGTCGTTCCTTCCATCTAAATAACTACCACAGCCAAACATTAAACTTGAGAGCAAGATCCGTGTCCTGGAATTTAAGTAAACAAGTTAACATGACCAAATGCCAAGAAGGCAAAGAGATTGTGAAGTTACAGCAACAAAAGAGAGTGTTGAAGCCAATCATCACCAGATCCATCCCCAACATTTTGATCTCGCTACCAGTAGAAAGCATGGATTTAATCTAGGGTAAAGATATGTCTGTAGAAGCAATATGCATGCTTCAACACATAAGCTTTGAAGAAATAATACTGCCATGACAGATCATGTAGGAAATGTACTTGGACAGGAATTCTTTGGTTCCCCGTGAATAAATTTTCATCATTATAAAAAAATCCATATCTATATGAACGTGTAGTATTCAGGAATATCTTCAATATAATGATCCTGAGATAGGTCTACTGTCCCTTCTAAACCTGTAACTCTTACATTAATTTCATGTTCTCTACAATTTACACTAACATAGCAACATTGCCTGGTTTTTAATCACAGCAGCTTGAACCAGATCTAGCAGCAGTGCTATCAGAATGATACCATCTAGTGACTTCAAATGGAGCACGAGGTAGTATGGCCCACCTTGGGATACCCTATGATTAAACTATTGGTTCCTTGATTTTGATTGCCGAACAGAGACCAAAATACTAAATAATAGATACGAGCTACAATGAGTAGATGCAAAAGGTAACCAAAACTCTGCCTTCAATTGTCTGCATGAATCATTGCTAAACACAAAGAAGGGTGTATTCAACCATCAGATACTGTTTTCATAACCAGAAAACCAGATAGAAATCTAGCAGAGACAAGTTGGCAAAAGAAAAAAAAATCTTTAACTGGTAAATGAAAAAGGGAAGAGAAAGAAGGATAAGCAATTGAATGTTTCAACCTCATAAGTGACTGTAGGTACATTTGATGCAGGTTGGCGAAGCGTCACTAATGAAACAGTACCAGTGCCAGATAAAATACATACAGCCCTTGGCCTTTGCTGCGAAAAAGATAGTATTTTTGCTACAATATCCTGTCACAAAAGAAAAAGATAACTGATGTTGATGCATTTTTAAGCACAAAAATGCAGGACCCGCATTTCCCATTTATCTCAATGTACAAAGTACTAATGCTTTTCTCAGACCATGGATTCATGCAGTTTGAGTTGGACTCAAGAATTTGAAAGGGGAAATGAAATAGGTAAAACTCTTTTACACTTGAATCACACAGGCAAAGCAAACACTTAATCAGTCTTAAGTATCCACATTGCATGAGACATTAGCCTCAGCATTTCCAATGTGAAATATTTGTAAGTGTATTTATAAATATCAACAGTAATCCCATACATCTTAACAAAATAATTCACCCGACATTCCACATACACACACAACCTTTTTTTTAGGAATGAATGGAACACAAATTTTGCAGTGTTTCAGCTAATCAATCATGCATAGAAAATGTCATGAACCCGAAACTAGCAATTTTGAAACTATACACATGATGAATGCCAATTAATTATTGTATAGAAACCAATTGTAAGATGGATGTAGCCTAACTTCAGCACCTTGAGCTCATTGGGTGCATCTCTGTGACCATGCAATTTCAATACGCATATTGACAATATACAATGTGACTCAGTAAACTTAACCACTGGAACTACTGTTTAAATGCATAAAAGGATGAAAAGGATTAATCATACTTCTCCAACTGCGATGCTAATCACATGAGGTGCAAATGCCAATCCAGCTGAACGGTTCATCCACTCACCTATCAGAAACAAATAAACATCTAAACGAAACATCCACGAATCCTGAAGCATATACATTGATAAGTATAGTTATGAAAGCATCCATGACCCAACTAATTAACAACCTAATGTAGAAACTTAAAGAGCACAGAACAGCAAATAAATTAGTCTCACAAATCTAAAACAAAATACTACAGGAGTCACACTTTAAAAATCAGGACAGTCGCCTCTGTTTGCAGTGCACATCTAAGCAAGATTTCAGACAGTTGTGATCCTTCCATGGTTATTTATAAATAAGTTTTTACAGAAGTTAATTTTACATATGATGCTACACCAAAGAAAGCTTGAAATTGACTTGGTAACCTTGAAAACATATGACAACAACTTATCAACTAATGAAATCAGCATTATTTAACTGAAGATCATAGCAGAACATCATACAATTCCCTTCAACAACCCTCACCCGGCAAAAAAAAACAAAGTCGAATAACCAGATAAGGGTTATAAAAAAGAGTTAAAACATCTCAAGCAAACCTGATTAGAAAGCACTGCAATTGGTTAAAAACAGAAAAAAGAGGAAAAAGAAAGCCAACCTAGAGTTGCTAATTGCTGCTTCCTGCCAGTTCCAGGCGGACGCCCTCTGGCCCGTTTTGGGGTCTGGGAATCCGAACCCGAAGAAGGCTTAGGCCTAGCGGGCAACGGGGAGAGCCCCAAGGAAACCTGTCCATCAGGGGCGTACTTCCTCGGCCTCCCTCGTTTCTTCTTGACGGGTTCACCGGGCGGCACTCCAGAGGAAATCCCCATGTTAATGGCGTGAGCAAAATTGGCATGTCTAGGCTCTATTCCGAAAGTTGATCCGGCATTTGGTTGACCTTGTACGGTTTGGTTTGACAAGGGCCTAAACCCAGCTGGAACATGTAATGCACCAGTTTGTGGTGCAGAGGCAGAGCCAACAGCCCCAGCTCTGTGTATGTAATATTGAGCTGATCCAGCTGCTAATGCCATAGCTTCTCTCCCATCCATGCATTTAAAAAATGGGAAGGGTCACCAAACACTTGTTTATTTCTCTATGTAGGTGATGAAAGTTAAGAAAAGAAATTGAGAAAAAAAATCGCACTTTAGTCGTTAAATGGGAAGTTTTACAACAAGATGAAAGAAGGTGAGAGTAAAGTTGAAGTCTTTAACCAGACAATAAACATAAATAAGGCAAAGGAAAAAAAACCAAAAAACAAAACTCAGTTTAACCCTAAATGTTGAAGATAGAAGAAGAGTGATGTTTGAGAAGAAGGGTTTTACAGGGGCTTTGTTACACGTGAAGGGAATCAAACAAGGCAGCCAAGGAGAGAAAAAAAAAATATTAAGAGAAAATGAAGAAAACTGGGGAGGGAGTAGAAACAAGTTCTTAAAGGTACAAAATTTTTAGCCTTGTAACAAACCCATGAGAGAAATTGATGTGAAGAAGAAGAAGAAGAAGAAGAAGAAGAGTAGAGCAGAGAGATCAAACGTGCCTTATTTTGGGTGGGTAAGAAAAACCCTAGATTTCAAATCTAGGGTTTTGGAGGAGAAAATGAAAGAGGGGAAGAAAGAGAGAAAGGGAGGAGAGAGGGAAAGAGAAAAAGACAACGAAGGAGGAGGAAAATGAAATTAAAGTAGGTGTTTGAAAAATTGGTGAGTAGGGGAGGAGGTGTAAGTGAAGAAGAGTGAAGAGTGAAGAGAGAGTCACAGAGAGTGATGACGTGAGAGAAGAAAGAGAGAGAGAGAGAGAGAGAGAGAGAGAGAAAAGAGGTAATGGGTCCCACTAAAAAGTACCAAAACCTTACAACTCCACAATCAGATTGCCATTTCTTAGGGCAGGGAGCCCTGATTTCTTTTTTTCCTTTTTTTTTTTTTTTTTCTTTTCTTTTCTCTTGTTTGGTTTGTGTTTTCAGAAGTAAGTAGTCACTTTGAAAAAACTAGAAAGAGAGAGATGGGTGTGTGGTCAAGGCGGTGGTGGGGTCGACCCAAAGACACAAACAAACAAACGATGTTCTTACAGCGGACAGAGATGGAGGAGTACACAGGGAAAGTGAAGAAGCAAAACCATAATTTCTTTTTAATTTTCATATTTTGATGCTACCAAAGCAGCATCTTTCAGGACTACAATGAAAGTGACAGTAGATTGTGACATCCCACCATGGGCTTCCTTCCTTTAGGCCCATCTCAATACCCATTCTTTCTTTCTTTCTTTCTTTCTCTTAACTGCCTCCTCCATCATCTAATATTACTTTTTTCTTTCTTGGTTTTAAATGGAATATGTATTTTTTTAAATCTTTTTTTTTTTTTTATAAAAGGCAATCACATTACATATCCCATAATGGTTGTTTATTTATTTGTTATATTATAAATGAGATGACTATCTGATAATATTTTTTAAATAATTTTATCGTATCAATCAATCACATTGTTATCATACTTTCTATTTGAATTTTTTATATCATTTCTTTACTAAATTTTATTTTCTATAGTCTTTTGAAACAAAATTTTGGTACGATAATTACTCATTTTTATTTACTTTTTACTAAAAAATTAAGTATCTACCAAAATTAGTAATAAAAATAAATCTCATGGCATAATCTTAAATTCTTCTTTTCTATTTTTCTTTTGTATGTTATTCTGTATCAAGAATATAGGGTGAAGTACATTTTTGTTTACATAAATTTCTCTTATAAAGTTGTCTTTGTATTTTATGCATTGTAGATTGTGTATTATATCAGACGTTGTTGTACTAATTAAGTATGATAAATTAAAGCAAGTGTAATGATTGAGTCTTTTTTTTTTTTGTGAAGAATAGTGAACATAAAAGCAAGTGCTACAATTTTTTGCTTAGAAATTGAAGGCTAATAAATTTAGTATATTGTGTACCACAATCTCAAAATATAAAATCTTGAACAACTTAAATTTTCTTAACCGATTTCAAAGGCTTTAAACTAGCATTTAAAAATTTAAGGTACTTCAACTTTTTGAAATAATTTTAAGGTTGAACTTAAAAATAAACTTTAAATTTGTGAATGACTAAAAGAGATTTTAAAATAATGCCTCCCTTCTTTTTAAAGTTTGAAGGTGAACTCTAATTGTGATGTTCGGGCTCGAGATTTGGTCAGAAATTAATTTTTAAAAAAATAAATATTTTAATGACCCCGAAAATTTAAAAAAAGAAATGTATATAATAATTTGAGCGCGGAAGCGAAATAAAGATTAAGATTAACATTCCTTGTACGATCATTCAAAAGTATTAACAAACATCACAGAATATATTTTTTGAAAGAAATACAAAAAATAAAAAAAAATAAAGGAGACTATAAAGTATCTAACATCTACTCGTAGCCTTCTTACGGATCAGACAATGGAACTGGGTCCTTCTGATCTGAAATGGTTAAATAAGGAGTGAGCTACATTAACCCAGTAAGGACATCACAATAAATCGCTGTCACAGAAGCAAATGTTGATAGAAAAACTAAAAACAACCAATGGAGCACAAATTTTAAACCAATACATTTATCAATAATAAAACCATTTACCGTCCACTTACTGCTATGAGATTTATAAAAACAACCTATGAAAACAATAACATTATAAATATCATAATTTCATATATAATATGCAACATAACACATATTATACTTTTATATTCAAATCATCAAATAACAATTGCCCTTTTTATCAGACTATTAGTATCCATGGGGATCCATAGAGGTGTCTTCGCTACACGTAAACCATTTCTATTAATAACCTTAATTCCAGGGTCGTCCCCATACCCCGTCTAGTATGAGCACCAAATGACCAAGTCTTCATACCCCGTCCGGTATGAGACAACGTTCACAGTAGGGTTCCCTATGAACTTGGTCCGTCCACCATCTCACAGGATATCTAGTAAGACTGTCACCTTATCCATTTATCATATCACATCCCTTTCCTGTTTATCTTTAACCTCCGTTACCAAATTAAATACAATCACATAAATAATGAACATGTACCTGGTAATACAATCATATCTTAAATCTCAAAATCACACAATGGTCAAGTAATACAGTAGTACATGCATTTAAAACTCCAAGACCAGATACCATCATGCCTTTAAACTGTAAAATATATTAATAGGAATCAATGGAGAACAATGTCCGATTTTGGGTTCCATTAGCAATCCGTAATTAATTATGCATATTTATCTAACTTGTACAAAAGACGGCATTATTATTTATTTAAACTTCACATCTATGATGGGAAATAGTGTGAGGGGTCCTTACTTGATTCGATGTCGAAAACTAGATAGTTACAGCGCCAATTGGCAGTCTCTAGGTTCCTTAAATTTTTTGTTGGGAACTGAAACGTACTTACAGTACCTACAAGTGTCCCAAATAAACCCAAAATCAGACCCAGGGCCCACTCGACCAATTTCAGAATTTTGGCACGGCGGCTCCGCCGTACTTCGGCGATGGTGCCGCCGCCCGCGGCAACGATCCGCATTGAGTTGGTTGTTTTCGACTGTTTTCGGCAGAATTCAGCTGAACTTGCATTGATTACTGCGATAAAACACACTTAGGGCCCTCGATGGGTCGAAAAAATATAGAAAATCAAAACTCACCGGTGGTGGGGCTCTCCAGTGCAGCGGCTCCTCCGACTCACATTGCGGTTGGATGTTTTACTTCGGTCAACCTGTAGAGAAGGAATCGGTTGTCACAACAGTGGAAAAATCACATCGACGGGAATCGGGAGACTCATCAGAGCATTTTCGAACACCC